TTTTTATAGGCTTATACTAAGCAGAATTACTAGCATTAATACTAAAAAGCAAGCTCTTTACTATGCTTATAATATAGAAAACATTAAGTAAATTTGAAAACAGATAAACTAACATATTATTAATTAATGTTCTAAACTTCAAACTAATTTTAAAACAATGATTAATAGTATACTTAACTATTACAAGGACTCTATAAAAATTAATAATATTAAAACACCAAATAATATTATAATAGATTTTAAACTTATTAAGAAACATATTAAATAATACTTCAATAACTAGACTGCTTACAGATTTACTAATACTTAGGAATTTAATTTTAACTAGTTAGAGAAATATCAACTTAAGACTATAATTAGTTTAAATTATTACAGTTTAGTTATAGCTAAATTTTTATTGAATGAAATTTTTACAACTTTTATCCAATTCCCTAACAACAAGACATGTAAACTATTTGGAATTAGCTATAAAATGTTAAACAAGCAGGCTTTTCCTTTTGTTAAACAATAACAACTTTTTTCAATTAATGCATTCAAACTAACCATATATCCAAGCAATAGAAAAAGAGTTGCATCTTCCAATATACAAAAAACCTATCTTAGATTGAAACCTATTTAATACAAGACCTATTAGCTAAGCCAAATATATTAAAAAACTATATACAAAACTTTTTACCAATCATTTTAACTTAATATTCACTCAATATTTTATTTTATTTCTTTATTACTACATTGCTCTATATGGTAACAGTATTTTACTTCTATATATATACTCAACAATATTATTAAAAATGCTAGTTGCAATAACAGACAACTTTGGCTTTTGTCTTTGGACATGAGCAAAATATATAATTCTGTTAACTTTGAACTTTTTACTAAGTCTTTTGAATGTATATCAATGCTTTAATCTCTTATTAACATATTTATAAATCTTCTTACTGATTATCAAAACTATGTTATATTCTTCTTAGACTTACTAATCTTTATTTAGTTAAAAATAATATAGACCAAGAAGAAACTATAACTTCTCTATTTTGGAAAATCTATTAATAAGTAAAATAGCATCACAATTTTTGGGATATTCTCTGTCTACATTCTGGAAAATTAATCTATACTTACTTTAATTTCAATATTTAAAAATATCTGTATCAGTTTTAGTCTATATAAATAATACTCTTTGAATTGCAAAGTTCAAAAAAGAACTCAATCTAATAACCAAAACTACTATGTCTTTTTACCAAATGACTAACATCCAAATCAATCTAACTAAGTCAATTATAACTACAAATTCTTTTACCATCTCTTTGTAGTTTTTTAGATCTCTAATCTACTTTATTCCTAAAAACCAATTATTTAAATTTTTTAAATGCTGATTTACACTTAACAACAAACATTTTTAACTTATCAAACTAATAAATAAAGAGGCTTTTGGTTGCTAAATGTATTAATAAAAAAAATTATAATTTAAATTAATTATTTTGATAATATTATATATATAATAGTCATATACCAAATTTGAATATAATTTTCTCAAAATTATATAATTTTCCCAGAATCACCTTTTGCTATAGGTTCTTTTATTTATTGATGATTATATTAATTATTTTATATTATCTTTATTTTAGTTTAAATTTTAAATTTTAGTATAATATTATAATATCATTCTATGATTTTTAGATAATAATTTATTAATTTTATTACTTATTATTATTTTTTCTATATGATATTTGAATGGTTTTTTCTAACATTTTATCTAGCTATCTTTTTTATATTAGCTTTTATATTAAAAAATTTAGACTAATATAAAATATAATTAATAAATACAAAATATTATTTAATTTATTATATAAAATAGTTAAGGTCTCATAGCCTAGTAGTCTAGATGCCTTATTTTTCACAAACAAGGTTAACAATTCAATTCTAGCTAGAGGTAAAAAACTCTGTAATCTATAGAAACATATAAATATATATGAAGTTCTGTATTTAAAGTCTATATTAATAAAAGTTTAGTATATAAAAAAGTTTACAAAAAGAAGCTTCTTAATATGAAGAGTTGATGCTTGATACAAAAAAAGCAGTAAACATATTAGAAAAAAAACACTAGCAGATAATATGGTGAACATAAAAAGAAGTTATAGGAAAAGAATAAATTTACTGAAATTAGAACATCTATAATACCAAACTAGTTTTAGTAGATACAGAATATACTAAAATTGAATAAATCTAAGAAGTAATCTTAATATCATACTTAGTAAGTTTGTATTGAAAATTAATTTAAAGAACTATAAATACTTAGTAATATTAAATAAAATAATACTTTGATATAATAGTAATTAGATAATTCTTAATTTGATATGTTACTATAATAATATTAGTATTGCATATATATGTAAACAAGTATTAAAAATCAGAAAGTTTAAATAGAAGACCCACAAGTGGGTCTTAGATATCGCATCTAGTAGGTAATCTATAAATGGAACCATTAATTAAATAATAACTAAAGTTATATATATAATTAGTTGTACTTTCATTGATAAACTTTGTACATAAAAATATAATTATATGTTACTAATAAAAGACATACAGACAAGATTGCTACTTCAAACTAAAAAAAATTAATTATATAAGGTTATTTATTAAAGTTGTCAATTTTTTAAAAGTTATTGTACATTAGTATTAAATATTAAATTATTTAAAAAAATTTAATAAATATAATAAAATATATTTGTAATAGAAAAAAAATTTAAAAATATATTTGAAAACAAAAAAAATTAATTAAAAATTTATTTGAATGCAAAAAATGATTAATTAAAAAATTTATTTGATGTATTTCTTATACAACATTAGAAATAATAACATTTTTAATCTTGTAAATATTTTGTTTAATAAGAGATAAAATTTTTATTTATTAAATAGAAAGTAGTAAGAGAAATTTCTGCAAATCAAATAGCTTTACTCAAAATACAGATAACTTATCAAAATCAGATTTTGATTATAAACTTAATAATAGTCTAATTCTTTTTTTTATACTTATCAATAATTAAATAATAAAATTTTTAATTAAAAATTTTACCTCACTTAATATATAAGGTTATGCAATTTGCACAAAAATACACACAAATTTTTGCTTTTAACATAACCAGAATCAGATTATGTTTAGCAAACATATATTCATCAAAGCAAACACCAAATAATTGTATTTTAAGCAAGAGAATTTCAATTAGCACGCTAGTGTATAAAATACAGCTATATATATAATTTAAAAGTTTACTAATAAAGCATCAAGGCTTTAACAAAAGATAAAAATCTGTGAAATTTTAGAATAAATTATAACCCAACCTAAACCTTAAACACGAACCTTAATCCAGCTTTAAGCAAGTTGATTTTCTTTCTTTAATCTGTGTTATATGGATTACAAATTATACTAGTGTGTATGTTGCATCTAAAGTAGCGATTTATCTAAAGTAGCGCATGGCTAAAATTAAGCCCCTGAAATTAGATCTGAATGCATGCATTAGGTTATAATTTTAGCCAGGGCACTACTTTATATATATAAAGTGGCTACTTTAGATAAATCGCTACTTCAGATGCGACATGTACATTCACTATTGTATGTTTAGAAATTTTTTTTCAACTAATGTCGTTATAAAATTTGCATCTAAAGCAGTATTCATCTAAAGTAGCTACTTTATATATTTAAAATGACTAAAATGATATCTAACTTCAGAGGCTTAATTTTAGCCAGGCACTTCTTTATATAAATCGCTACTTTAGGTGCAACAAAACATATATAATAATGATTGATTCATTTAACTATTAACGCAATTAGAGTATTATTATTTTCTGCTTCAACCATATGCGATTAAACTGAAAGGAACTCATTTTTTGTTTTTAAACTCGTATCTTATCGCATTCAATCTTAAACCTGAAGTGAGTCCGATAAGTTATAAAAGCCGTAAGTACTTGAGGTTTGGTTTTGTCATGATCTGGGAGAGATTTCTTTACTCGACGCAGTTTCAGCAGAGGGCCACAAAAATGAATGTGGGATATTTTCTTTAGCATGTGGCACGAATTTAGTTTATTTATTAACATCAAAGCCGGAAAAAGAGTGTTATGCTTTATTAATTTGAATTCCATATTTGTACACTTTACATGCAAAAAAAATACAGAAATAGAGATAATACATGAGCAAAGAAAGAGTAATTAAACTTTTTCGTAGCAATTTTCCCTTGGTGTTACTTTATATAAATTATCAATTTTAATTCAACGCAATCCTACCATTTAAACCTTATACATCTAAAACTCAGGTTTAAATCCCCTCATACAAATTTCACGCACAATATACATAAAAAAGAAATATCTTTTTTATTACTGCAAGATAAAAAATACCACTATAGGAAAGACAGTAAATAGAATACGCATCATGTGTAGGGATGGGCAAATTTTTTACATATTTCTTATGTATTCTTATTTAAGATTTTGTTGCAATAGGTAATAATGAGAAATTATGTCATTAATCATTAACTTTGTTTTTTGAACACTCTTAATGATGTACAAGCTCACGTTGGTACGTCCTCATGTTCGTTCCTCACAATTTTATCAAGTGATCTATTACTCTTAAAAATTATGTAATAATATGTAATAATTCATAAAATATGTAAGGCCTAAAAAATACATATCGATTACATAAAAAATTACATTGCCCATCCCTAATCATGTGTCACTTCTGCACTTATAAAATCAAATACAATCGAATATGGAAAGGATTTTCAAGCCAAAAACTAACGTTAAGAATTCAAAAACGGGAATAAAACTCCGTAATTATAAAATTAACATCTAGTGTGTAATTTCATTTTTGTATAACTGTAATACGCAATAATTCTAAACGGAGACTTAGTTCCGCTAATATTGTACATATTTTTGTTACAGTTATAAATATGATAACTAATATATATTAAAATTTAATTCTAAATATTTTTTTTTGATATCGTAAAAATCAAATGGATGATTATACTAGTAATAATGCCAGTGAAAATGAAACAATAACTCTGAAAAGTAGTGACGGTATAGAATTTCATATTGATGCACGTATCGCTAATCGTTATAACTTGCTTAACAATTGGAATGGTAGTGGCACGTATTGGTTCACTGCTTTTAAAAGTATTTAATTTTGATTTACAAAGTTGAAAGATCTTTATCTTTACAATGAAATTCTGCAAATGCAGAAAGTGCATGCCTTCCTAACGTTACCGGAAAAGTCTTGGAAAAGGTTAAATTGAAAATTACTTAGATGAATTATTACGTACACTAATTTTTTTTTAAAAAATTGAAAGTAATCAAGCTTTTAATCGATAATCAAGGTTCTTGAATGGTGTGAGCATCATATTAACGATCCACTACCTAATTATGATGACGACGATTCTCGAAGAAGAAATACTGTAATCGATGATTGGGACCAACATTTCCTAAATCGTGTCGATCAGGATATGCTCTTTGATATCATTCTGGTTGATTTTAAATTTTTATTGGTTCAGAAATTTAAAAACTTATTTCAATAAATGTTTGATTAATTTTCTCATGATTAACAATTAGGCTGCAAACTATTTGGACATCAAACTATTATTGTAAATGATCTCAACTTTATTAATAAATTAGTATTAATGAATTAGTTCTCAAATATTTAAAATTTATTCATAGGGATATCGGCTGCAAGACTGTCGCCAATATGATTAAGGGTAAGTCACCCGAAGAAGTGAGATCTACCTTTAATATTGTTAATGATTTTACTCCGGAAGAAGAAGAAGCTATTCGTAAAGAAAATGAATGGATTGATGATGATTATTAATAATAAATTTACTAATTCTCTAATAACCAATATTAGTATGTTAATTTTTTTGTATTAGTTGAAATATTACTATGTTAATTTCGTTGTATTAGTTGAAATATTAGTTCTATTTATTTTAATATTTTTCTAGAACCCTGAGCTATACATAGATAAGTTAGATCTAAGTTTGCTTATTTTCATGCCAAATTTGCTTCAAAAATGCTTACTTTGACCAAAATTCAAAAAATTTACTATTTACAGAAAAAATGTGAAGTTTATTGAATATCTCTTAAAATTGTATGCTCTAACCTATTTATTAATGGCTTGGGGTCTATTTTTCTGCATTAGTTCTGCATTAAAATTATTTTTATATCACAATGGCCAAAATGATTGCAAAATGCACTTGTTTAAATGCTGATTTATTTGGATGCATGTTGTTTCTTAAAAGCAGTGTAAATTATATTGGTATAATATTTTCTTAAAAAATGGTTTCATTTAATTTATTGCACAAGAATTATTATACAAATTTTTTAAATGAATAATATATATAATGGTTCGATATATTGAATTATAATATTTGTCACAAAAAGTTTATTGTATTCAGTGTTGATTCATTTTGATTAACTCAACAGATTTAGTCTAATAACTAATAGGAGTTTATCACGAACCAAGCATAACAACAAAAATCAGAGTTTAAAATAATAAATATTGTATATCGGTTATAAATTTGATTTTATAAATAAAATCGGATTATCGGTTTTAACCTGATTTTTGAATAGATTAAATATATATAATCTTGTACTTGTTACTTATATATATTAGAAGTGTATCGTGTGTTGAATACCTCTTAAAGTTGCGTTTTTGGTATCTGGTGCACTCAAATCAGATTATATCCTGTAACTACTATAGATTCCAATCTTATAATTCAGCTGACTTTAATATTTATTATCGTTATTTATGGAATAACAGATACCTGCTAAAATTAATTTTTTTTGATGTCTGTTATCTAATAAATATGAATCATGATCATGTTAACCTATATTAAGAAATGCACAAAAATTTGAGCATGTGGGTATGTGGCAAAAAATTATTATGTCAGTTTATGATTACAGTCTTTTTTTGAAAAAAGTTATGATTGTTTCATGCCATGTTATTATTTATCTATCTTTAATACTGTACCATGTATAGTGCTTTCCATAAGTAAAAAAAAGTCTGGTTTATAAAAATGTTTGATGGTTTATATCTACAAACCCTTATGTTAAGTTGATCATGAGTAGCTATCCTTTAATTTTATCTTGTATTACAGATTAGTAATTTCTAAAAAGACAGATAATAATAGTGTTTCGATCTTATTGTTGACAAGCTATCTGAATTCTATCAAACTCGGATCAAATCTGCTTCCTTAGGTCCGTTATTCAAGTTCCCTAACCAATCTAAATAAAATTCATAATCCAAAATTTTGAATTTATCTGGATGAGATCCATAGGAAGACTTTCATATGATTGAAGAATAAACAAAAAAAAAGAGCATATAAAAAGGTTTATTAGGGTTGTGGGACTCAACCATTAAAAATAATCAAAATCATTCTAATTTTGGAAATATTAGCATAATACACGTCATTCTGGTTATATCGACATCTGCATATTGTGAGGCACAATAACGTGACGTAAATACTCTACCGGGACTAGTGAAGTGCCGCGTACAGTACTATACGTACAGTACTGTACGTACTGTACGCTAATTTTTTTGCCGATCACCTTTTCCAGCCAATCAGATGCAGGAAAAGAACTGTACGTACTGTACGCTAAAATTTTTCAGGCATCATATAAATGGCACATCACTAGCCGGGACCTTACGTGAGAACGGGTACGACGATCAATTCCTCGATATAGATATCCCGGCAATTAATCGCATTAATGCGATTAATTAAATAAATCAAGGAAGTGGATTAATTAGAGAAAGGGGATTAATTAGAGAAGGGGGATTTATTAAATAAATGGGTTTAAGTGAATAAATTAGAGGAATCGAATTAAATGGTTTGATGGGATTAATGTAATTAAAGAAGTTATAATTAAAAAGATAATATAAATAAAGGCCGAAATGGACTTTTGAAGCAATATGCTTCATTGGCTTTATTAAAATACAAATCCCAATATATTATAATGCTTATAATAAAATACTATCACTATCCCTGTCTAAACTCTGTAAACCCTTATAAACATTGTCATTTGATTAAGTTCTTGTTCATATGACTTACCCTACTTGTATTCATTAACCCAAAGTAATCAAAAACCTTAATCACCTACTAGCCAAATCTAACACACTCTTTCAAAAAGGTTACTTATCATACATTATGTTACAATTTGAATTATGGAGTAACTGAGTTGCAATCTTCTGAACCAACAATATACTGATATCTGGCTATACTGACATCTGTCTATAATAATATTTTTTAAATTTTATACTATATATTTAATATTAAAATATTTCTGATTAACTTAATATCTGGATATATCAGATAATTTCTTTATTTTTTTGAGGTATCAATATAACCAAAGTGATGTGTAGTAAATTCTTAAAGATAGATAAAATTAACTTATCACTAGTGTTATATCCTAAATCATTTACCAAAGTCTGAAACATTTCAGATTTTGAGTTTTGGTTTTACCAAAATTCAAAACATCTGAAACTGAGCAAAATGTCTGAAACTGTGCAAAATGTCTGAAACTGTGTGAAATGTCTGAAACTGGATAAAATGACTGAAACTGGATAAAATGTTCAAAACTTAACGAAACTAGATGAAACTGGATGAAACTTAATCTTATCTCTACCAAAATCAATATAACATGTGATGTAGACTTCAATATAACAATTTTTAAAAGTCATATGCCTACTGAACTTAAAATTAATGAATGGAATTTTTAGAAATTTTATTGGTAATTTTAAGTGTAACAGACATGTAACTTTTAGAAATCATCATATTGAAGTCTGCATCATGTAACTGCTGCACTAAAAATTAACTAATGGAATTTTTAGAAATTACATTAGTCAATTTTAAGTACATTTAGAAATCATTATATCGAAGTCTGTGTCATATGTTATGTTGATTTTAATAAAGATAAGATTAAGTTTCACTAAGTTTTACCTAGTTTTGCCCAGTTTTGAATATTTTACTTAGTTTTAGATGTTTTGCTCAGTTTTAGATATTTTACTCAGTTTTGCATATTTTGCCAGTTTTGGACATTTTATCCAGTTTCAGATGTTTCATCCAGTTTTGGATATTTTATCCAGTTTTAGACATTTCATACTTGGTACCTTGGGTGAACTAGATTTCAGAGGTTTCAGAAGTTTCACCTAATCGAAAGTTTCAATTTAGGTTATAACACTAGTTATCACTATGCTAACTTCTCTAAATAAAAAAGGTTCTTGATTATTTTTAATAGCTAAATAGTAATATTCTGCATATAGTACAGTATACAAAAAAATTTTTAGAATATTCTAGAACAAATCATTAAAGTATCTTTATTTTAAAATTTTATTATGAAACTGTCTTTCACATTCTAACAAAATTATTTCTTACATAATGCTATATATAACTAATTTATAAATGCTATATATTATTGTATTACATATACTATACATGTTATATATTATTTATTGATCTCTATTAATTTAGAATTAATGCCTGTTATTTTTAAATTTTCACTAATCAATAAATGACTTATACTAATTTTTGATATTTATAATACAGCTTTTAATTAATTAAGATATAAATGTAAATTATATATTATACTTGTAATAATGTAAATAAAAATAAAGATTTGTTTTTTTAAATTTTTTTTTTCTTTAATGAAAATAGAAAAGCAAACTTTTATCTTTCTTATAATTTCTTTGAATGAATACTAAGAATGTATATTAGTCAAAGAAAAATAACTGATGTTTAATGGATACAAATTATACAATAAATATTTAGAGTTATTAAAAACTCCTAGTACTTTATATAACTAAAACCTAAATATCTAATAAAACCCATAATTGTTGCCATTATAAAAAAACTAACTGTGGTACTAAATTCTGTTCTTGTAAGAGAAACAACATATTATATTCAAGACAATGTGATTGTATCTTGCATAGTTAATGCAAGATAATTATTTTTTTCTCTTAACAAATAAAATTGTATTTAGTTTTATTTTATTTTATTTTTTTTTAAAAAAAAATAATAGTTGCAATTAGTGTTTTTTTTTTAGATCTTAGATTAGAGAAATTGCATTTTTACAATAGCATTTAGAACTTATCATGAATATATAATTATGCATTTTTATTTATTTTATTATACAAAATTTTTAATAAGTACCATGTAAATATTCATTAATCAGTAAAATTCATACTAATTTCAAAGTGACATATTATTTTTGAATTTATAAATAACATATTTTGATTCCAAATCAACAAGAATTAATAAATGACATAATATACATACTATACAACTATATGTACTGTATATACTGTACATAAAAAAAATTCAAATATTATATAAATAGCATATCTATATCACAACCTCAATAAAACTTTATATACTTTTTTTTTGTTTATTCTTTGTTGTTTTTTTTAAAAACAAAAATTACTTTAAACTGTATAAATAATATATAATTAAATTGATTTAAACAGCTAATTATATAAAAGTCTTTTTTTTTTATAGAAATAAGGAATCAATTCAGATGATCAAATTTAGGATTGATACAATAGTTGATAATAATTTGAAAGGTAATATTTATAAAATTTTGCCTTACATTATTTATATTGTTTCAAAAATTATACTGAAATATTTTAGCATATATATTAATTACCAAATAAATTTTTTAAATGCAAACCAAATTATAAAGATATTGTAAGCCAATTTTTAGGATCACAAGTTTCTTTATTGAAGTAACAATTTTGACCTGATCCAAAGTAACAGAAATGTTACTTATGTTACTTATTTCACTTCTGCTACTCCACTTACATATGAGTTAAATAAAATATTAGCTTTTTATTAGATTTAGTTAGGATATAGAGTATAAGAAATATATTACATTTATGAAAGAAATCAATTGCAAATTTAAATATAATGTTTATTATAAATAAAAGTCATTTGTGCTTTGGGAAAAGAATCTGTCTCTAAACAACAAAATCATCTCTTATACAAATAAATTCTCTAATAAAAAATAAATACCCTACTCTTAAAAGTGAAATATGATTCTGTACAAACTAATAAACTATTATTAATCTCACTACTGACATAATTGTTTACTCAGAAATCATCAAACCTATCATTGACCATTTACCGTAAGTTACATAACAAATCCATTAACACAAAAAAAGAATTTCAACTCTAATTTAATGTAGTGTAATCTAGATTGAAGTAGACAAAGAGAAGACTAGATTAGTATTAGAAAAGGTTAAAGAAAAGACTTAGTAAGAAAAGACTAGTATCTATCTATAAATAAAACTATCAACCAAATCTAATACAGTTATTTATAGTTGTTAGATAAAACTTAGAGGTTTCACCAATGGTGAATGGTGAAACCTAGTTTTGACTTTCATCAAAAAAAATTAAAAAAACAAAATGGTAAAACTAGCAAAAGGTAATAAAACTTGTAATAAGTAACAAAACTGGCAAAAAGTAATAAAATTAATAAAAACTGAAAAAAGCATAAAACTAATGTAACTGTTAATTGTTCTCTAAATTTTACTTCTATATTTGTCCTATTAGTAAGATGTTATTTACTTTCAATTTTTGTATTCTTAGTTGTATTAAACATTATTACACATTTTTGATGTTTAATATATACAATCATCTAAAATATTATGTATATTAACTTAATAATATAAGTTTTAAAAAAACATATATAGGTTAGATTTAGTATTGTAGATATTATATCTGTTGTTTAAAGTAGTTTAGTTAGTCTCTTTAATTAGTAAGTTCTTCTTGTTAATAAGTAAAAAGAAGCTTCATAGTTGTTCTAATAATGCAAGAACTTCCAAATTAGGCTTCATAGTTGCTTTGATAGTGCAAAAAACTTATAATTAGTTTCACAGTTGCAGTGATCATGCAAGAACCTTTGTATACATTGAGCATCTTCATATTATTTTCTTTAACATAATATTACAAATTGTTATCTGATTCTTTTTTTTACTATAGAAATAATAGTTTACATGCATTTTAAAATTAGTACAACTATTATTTTTTTTAATTTTATTTATATTAGAGTAGAACCTCAAGATGGCAAACCTATTCTCATATGTTTCTTTATTAGATTAGTAATAACAATAAAATCTCTAATCAACAAATAATAATTGTTTATTCATACTGTAGTAATTTTTGTAATCATAATTCAGAGTATTGCAATTTGAGTTCTTAAAGACCATGATTAAAATTTAAATAAAGTTATTAATATTGAATAAATTCTTGAATATATTATAGTTATACTTGAATTTGTAATATTACATGTTCAATATTGCAACAACCTATAAATTTTCTAAATACAAAATGCAATAGCAATGCTCTTTACATTTTCTATTTCTGGTTTTGCATAACAACATTATGTAACCATCTTATATAATTCTATCTTAGCTTACTATCTTTAGAATCTAAATTGGTTTAACTCTTTTAATTAATTTGGAAAATATGAATATTTTGATTATATTCATTATTTCAGATTTCTAATTTTATAATGTATGAAGTTTTCTAATCACGGTAAATTGAAACAAACTAATGTATTATTTAAATTAGCGAATCAATTATTCACCATTTCTTTTTTTGTGTAAATAAACTCATAAAATAATAGTTTTATTTATTTATTATTTAACCAAAAGCAAGATCATATATTTTTTTCTTGCAAAAAAAAAAACCGTTAACAAATATTGTCAGAGATCACTATACATTTTATACACTTATAATAACTGAAATTGATTTTCTGTCACCTATGCAATAAACTAAGCTGGTTGACAAATAGCGGGTTGATCTCCTAAAGAAGCGCATTTCAGACCCTTGTCACAATTATTCTCAACCAGGCAATTATCTCCTATTTGCTGCTTGCAACCACCACCAAATACCTCTTTTAAAAAAGAACAGCGCTTCACATGGCGAGAAGATTGATCTATCAGCAAAATATAAATCAAGCATTAGATATATAATTCTATTTACGAAAAGAAAATTTAATATAAAATAGATAAAAGTGAATTAATTTTAACCTTGATGAATAGGTAATGCATGAACCAGCATACCACAGATGACATAACAGATAATGGTAAACCAAAGGAAAATTTTTATGACTTTCATAATGTAGGATATACGTGATAATTGGCGTCAAGATCAAAATATATTAGATATTTGTTATTCAGAACTGAGAATCTTATAAGTGTTGTTCTTTTTTTTTTTAAAGAACGGAATTTTTCTGTTATCCAGAACAGAATTTTTTTTTGCATGAGTGATGATAACTATTCTGAAGAGGTACATATATATAGAAAAAATTACAAGTTAATTTAGCCTTTTTGACGTTAGTTTATAATAATTTAATTTATAAATCACATTTTGAAATTTCTGCATTTAACGAAATAATCAAAAGTAGAAGTTAATCCAGGGTAACTGTATTGGGTTAGCGTCATTAGCTATGTCGATAGTTTCAAACAATGCTTTTGACCAATAAAATTTTGATTAATTATTCCCGAAAATTATTTACCCGACAGCCGCTTACCTAACAATACATAGAATGACAAATTGCTAAAAATATATACCTGCATCTAATCAAATGCTAAACCTAACCATATGTGATGTCAATTGTAAATGCTCACGAAGCGAAAAAAGAAAATTTCAGAAAAAAAAAATTGCAAAAACTAGAGTCTAAACTTATTTTGGAGCATCAGTAAAAAATGTCGGAAGTGCAATTTAAATTAATGATTTTGCCTAACCTCTAGTCCTAACCCTAATTTTAATTATTTACTTTAGTGTTAGAGACGCTTACAAATATGTAAAATGTCGGAAGCGCAATTTAACTTAATGATTTTGCCTAACTTCAACTTCAATCTAGACATAACCCTAATTTTAATTATTTGCTTTAGTGTTAGAGACGCTTCCAAATATGTAAATTTCGGTAATATTACATTTCTGATTACTAATTGTTTTACGAAAGAAGCTTAAAATGTGATCCAGTAAATTACCAGTTATGATAATTATATGAGAACAAACTCGCTTTTACAATACCACTTTTAGATAATAAATAAAGGTTTCACCCTAACATGATACGTAACTCGCAGATCAAGCAAATCCGATAGGTATGCTAGAAGTTCATGCGATATCATAATTCATAAGTGACAAAAAATATTCATTACGGTAGCTTATAAACTATTATCAATTTACTAAAAGTATTTCGGCAACGAAGTTAGTATGAAAATTGCCGAAAATAAGTCGACGATTTAGTAATTCAGAAATACTTTAGTTAAGCCAGGAATGTAATATGCTCATGATACTTGTAATATTTTAAAACAGTGATATGTAGTATTTTAAAGTATTATTTAATCATCGATTGATTAAACTTGCAATTTTATTCGAAAGCAGTAATAATAAATGCCTGAGTCGTTTAAATAAATCTACAATAAAAGTTTGAAGAAAAATCTACTACAGAATCAGAAATTTTAAAAGTATAATTCATAAATATTAAATGGGATGATTAATTATGTAATTGACTAAGTTAAAAAATCATCACATGTAACACTTAACCTTACGATGTTGCAACAAAAAAAAAAGGCTCAGAAACTATTGAATCAAATTTATACTAATTCAGAAGGATTGAGAAAGCGAAACATCCAAGAGCATGGTATGTGTTAAAACTAATAATAAAACAGCAGCTTTTTATAGGTCGGTGCCTCATGTATTAGTGTATTAGCTTAAAAGTTTAATCATTATCATCAAATAAGGTATGACAGAAAATTAACTTTTAATATACGAATAAATAGAACGCATTAACATATTTTTATCCATAGTATTAAGTAATCGCATAAACCAAAGTATTATTATTACTATTCTTGATAGTAAACTTGTATTGTTAGCGTCATTCATCATGTATCATTCGTAAATTAGAGAGCAATATATCAATTAAACTTGTGCGTAAAACATGTCTGTCAGATTAAAATTCTGAAAATCTGCAGACTGATATTCTTGAATACAATGGTTGACCAGTATTTTACGTTATGATTGACCATCCTTCTTAAGTATATGGATTGAAACATTTTTAAATATTGTGAGTTGAATATTTTAACATTCATAATAATCCTAAATTTCAAGGTTTGTATATTTTCTGGCAATTGGTAATAAAAATTGTCAATAACAATCTAGTACGGCAAAAATTGATCTGTATCATTTTCAATTGGTAAATAAAATGTAAAAATGATATATAACATACAGATATAGTTTTAAAGGTCTAGCATTACCACCATTTAAGGCCGATGTAACATGATCTTCCGATCTCAAACGCTTTTTTGAATTCGCTAGGCATTGAATTTTCTCCTTTTTGAATTTTAGCCGAAAAATCCCAAATATAGCTGAGATTGTGATCGCCGTGCTGACCATTAGTTCGATTAACTGTTAATTTATCATTTATATTCTTTTAATTTGAGCAGGGAGTTCAAGATATGAAGGGAATAACGTAAATGAAGGAACAGTCTTGGTTTTTTTTTTTATTAAACAATGATAATCACCACTAACCCAGAATAAATTATTGTAAAAATAAACTTGCACTAAAATTTCATTCTTAAATTTTACATACTATAACAAATAAATTGATGATTCCAGAGTTATTCATTACTTTGGATATTATGATAAATGTCCAACACAAAGACTCATGCAATAAAAAGAATGATAAGTTTTATATTTCAGGCAAATGCCAAGATCTTGGCGTCAACAGCTTATTTCTGTTGGTAACGGTAATACTATCTTCTAAAAAGGAAATAGCAGGGAAAGAAAGATTAATGGCTTATTTATTTATACAGGTAACACAAGCTTCTAAAAAGGAATTAATATCCGCTATCTAGGGTGAAACCCACGTTGAGTTATATTTCTGTTGTATATTCCGGTTTATTTTATTTAGTGTAATAAATATACTAAGGCTCTATTAAATTTGCCGTCTGTGATATGCTAATTTAGAAATAATTCCAAAAGAGTACTACGCATATACATTATTTTTAAATTAGATATCAAACAACTAGAAATGAAGAAATACCAATAAAGAATATAAAACAGAAAAAAGTATTTCACGACGAACCAAGCATAACGACCAAATCAGTTACGTACGGAGTTCAAATACATATAATTTAATATAATAAAATTTTCCATAATAAAAATTGTATTTTTACGGAACTGATTTGGGTGGTTATGCCGAGGAGTTCATAATCATATCAATAAGCTTTAGCGGTTACAAATCGATAACTACGTAATTTCGTTCTACTTTGCACCATATATCATTCAATAAATCAAAGTTAATATAATCATATGATCAATTAATTCATACTCAGTGTTCGATTTGAGACAAAATGCTGCTTTGATACTTTCGTATCGGGCAGCTAATAATAGTTATAAGCAAAAAAATTTTGATCTTGGGACAGTGCATACGCAGATCCCATGCAGGGGCAGAAAATTATTTACATTATTATAATGTATCAAGAAAGACAGCCGAGACAGTATTCCGTATTAAGTGTTTTCTGTCGTGATTCAATGCAACACGGCGCATATAAACATGAACTTTTATGTGCTTCACGTATTTTTTTTTTACATGCTCTCATAAATTTTGATATAACTATAGCCCTCTAATATAGCATAGCGGGCTTTATTATGATTGGTTGATTTTAAAGATCATCTCGTCTTAAAGTCTTATTAAAGTAACGATTTGCTGTCACAAGAATTGAATCGGGTGAAGGTAAGACAAAAAAAAAACTCGAAAGCTCAAGCTTTATCTTATATACTGTCAAAGTAATTTGGTAAACTGCGAGGTAATTCAGAAGTTAGATGAGAGCTATGCTTGAACGTTTAGTTTAGCCTATAGGTACAATAAATCGTTAAACTTGGCAATTTAAGTTGTCTTTATTTATCAAAGATTATTCTTCGCAACCTAACTAATAAAGAAACTTGATTACGTAACCTAGCCTAATAACAAATAATATGAAGTTGAGAGATACGTATAAGGTTTATAAAATTCGTAAGAGTTAAAGTGAGTAGTGATGCTGTAATTGTATAGTGATTATAAATAAAAATAAAGATCCGTTTGTTGTTGGAATAAGCATTAAAAGTTGTTCTGATATTTCTTTATTAGTTATTAGGTCTTAGAATAGAATTTAACCATTTATTCTTGTAGTTTTCACTTTTTTTCGGTTTTTTTTTCTTTTCTGATTCGTATATGTTAGGATTTTTTTTTTTTTAATAAAGTTTTGGATTGCCAGAATTTTGCCAATGGGAAGGTAACAGTTTTAGTCTAAAGTTATCGAAATTTAATGGTAAAAATTCTGCTGGCATTAATTTCGTCACATATATAATTATTTTATATATAGAAGCTTCTTTATTCGTACGATTTAGTTAAAGTTTGAATTTTCGATTATCGAATGAATTTTTACGATCTCTATAAAAGTCAATCACAATGGAAGCAGCTATGCTCTCTAATACACTAATCGAATAAAATCAACTTTAAATACGAAGTTACCAGTATTCTGTCATTGTTACCTGTAAAACCAAAAGCCTTAATTCCATACAGGTAGTAAGCAGTAATTGGACCCCGGCTTTTTTTTCTTTTTAATCAACGATAAATGCATTAAATTACAAGGAAATTATGTAACAATTAGGTCAACACTAATAATAATTACTGTTACGAGCTAAATGCAAATTTAGTAAAAACATTTCTCTAATTTAAAGCAAAGTTTGTGGTTTTAAATGTTTTGGTTGGTCAAACGATAAACTTGATCATGTTTGTTGCGTTTGTAGTTAAAATCTTTTTTGTTGGTTTAAATGGTAACCGTATCTTTGTTGTTTTTGGGTGTGTATCGATATTAATACGTATGATGTGGTTTTATTTTTAATTTAATACATGAGAACATATATCTGATATATAACGAATTGCTTAATTTGGTATTACACGTTATAAATCGAATAAAGTTTACCGATTGGGTGGTTAGAGACACAATTTATAAAAAAGTTGAGTGACTTTGATTTGGTAAATGTGCTTTATTTGATATTATGTTTTACGATATTTAATATACGAAGAATAGTATTATGACCGACTGTGACGTAGCACAGGGGGATATTATCGCGAGGATCACCTGACCTCATGATCATTGAAATCACTGGTTCTAATCACAAAGGCAAAAGTCTAAATAAATTGCATGATTATGAGGTCATTGATCTAGCGAGTTAAATAATAAGGATATATAGGCTTTAAGGAAATTTCAAAGGAACTTGTGCTTTTTTTTCGCTGCTTTTCGTAATTGCCCGAAAACCCTATTTCTGGCTAATCGAAGGTTCTTTAACACGGTTATAAATATCGTTCCTAACAAACAACTATTTGTAATAAGATCTACTTAATACCACCTGCATGACTTCTGGGAGAGTACATAGACAAGATATAGAGCTGTATGAGTCAATAGATGAAATGGAAGTACGATGAAGTGATGTATGTCGTTCACATTTGTCAGTCGAAGCATTAAAAAAATCTATGTATCCGGCTAGGCTTGAGTACTGAAGGGAATAAAGCTGACTTGATTGAGCGCCTCACACATGCTAGCAACTTGCTCCATTCACATTCAGATCTTTTAAATGGAAACATTGAGAGTGGAGGAAGTGAAGTGTTTGAAAACACCCATGGTGAAGAAGGAGCCAACCAGGAAAGCAATCTACGTTGTGAAAGTTCATTTTTTAGTATGTCACCTAAGCCTCTTAGTGATGATGAGTCACATGACAAAAGATACAAAAAGGTAAAAAAGGAATCCAATAACAAAAAAATATTGAGATATTATTAAAAGAGATTAAACATTTGCATGAAGATGTAAACAATTTTACTGAATGGGTTAAAGTATCAAATATGCAATCAGAAATTTACAAGAATTGGCCAGAGGTGAAATTTGAAAGATCAAGGGATCAATTTGAGTATAATGTACTTTGTGCAATTGGAAATGACCTGTATTTGGAATTAAGTATTCTAATAGAAAATGAGGTAATTCAGCATATTGAAAATGTTAGAACAAAAATGTTTAATAGAGTGGTCATTCTAAATGTGACAAAAGAGTATAGTTGAGAAGTTGCAATAGAATTACTACAATCAAAGAATGAAAGCTTGTTTGTATATAGTAAAACAATAGAACAAGCAAGACAAGCAGCAAATATAAAATAATAAGAAAAAATAAAATATTCAAATGAGAAATAGTTTTTTTAAAGGACTGATTTCTATAAAGGGTCCAGAATTAAGAACAAATTACATTGGAAACAAGAATTTTACCTGCTCAACAAGGAATAAAATGAGTTACATAGTGCAAAAAAGAATAAAGTTTTTTATGTTACAATTATAAAGAATTGAGACATTATACAAATAACTGCATTTCTAGGTTAGACAAATAATCATTTAAAAGAAAATCAAGTCATTCTCAAGAAACAGCAAGATATGTTATACCAAAAAAATTACAGTTGACTATTCTCAGACTTCAAAACAATCAGTAGAGGAAATTTAAACAAACCTTTATTAGTAACATATTGGAAAGAAAAAATAAAGTTTAATTTCTAATTCTAAGTTGACTCAAACATGAGATATTATTATTTTCAAAAGATTTACTTCACTAATCACTGCAAAATATTTCAAAATAATATTATTTAACACAAGAACAAAAATTTGATTTGAATAAAAACTAATATATCTAATAAGAAATAGGCAATTATCAATGTTGGAGAAGAATTCAAAAATTGGTTTGCCTATTAGAAATAAGTCTCATAATTTTAAAATTGAAATCAGAATCAAGAAAATAGAGATTTATATAAATCTATAAAGTTTAAACAAGATTTTAATTAAAAAATCTTTTTTCTTCACAGATTTAAAAATGTTTATCTGAAAAGTACTATCATTTTTTAATGATAAACAAAACACAAAAATTACTTTAAGAAGGAATGATATTATTACTAAGTTCTATTATTTTACTTAAGCTAACTAGTATGAATTTTTTTAAAAGTAATGCAGGCTTTGATTAGACATTGATGATCCATAAGTATTTATTATAGAAATTATATAAATGACATTTGGGTTACTTATTCAGATATTAAAGTCTTAAGATTTTAATAAGATTATATAATTATATTAAATCTAAAATTAGAAATGTTAGTTTTAGTAAATAAAAGAAATTGGGAATTCATTCAAGAACTAAAATTTTATAAACTAATACTGAATATAATAAGAGACTCAGTAATAGTTTTAGACAAGAAAATAAAGACAGCAAAACAAGCTCTAAAATAATTAATAATACAAGAGTTAATTACAGTATGCTTCTTAGCTTTAATAACTAACACATTGATAAGTTTAAGCAGAGTATTTGTACTAGCAAAGGTACATTATCTAGAATTTTATAGTCTAATTAATGTAGTATATTATAAACCTTGTAAATGAGACAAAAAATTAAAGTTATCAATAAAAGTCAAAAAGGATACAAATTGGCTGTTTTAAAGTTTAAAAAAGAAAAATGATTATTCAATATGAAAGTTTTCACAAATATTTCTATTGTTTATAGACTTATTAATAACTGATTAGTTAACAATACTATTTGCATATAAAGTATTCAGAAACTGAACAAAACAGTACCAATATATGAATATAACAAAATTAGAATTAATAGCAGTACATTTGATTTACAGTTATTTAGAAAAAACTTAGTTCAAAAAATCATATCAAATAAATATCACAAAACTATCTTATTTTACTTTCAATTACCTGATACCAACCCTTTTGCATACAATACATATCCTATTGTCAAAAAACAAAAACCTTGGCTCCTTACTTATTATTTCAATAATAAAGAAATTATTATTGGCAAAATTCGCAAATATATTCCTGTCTCTAACTCATTCTTGATTACACATTGGAAATCTAATATTAATTTAAATTATAATTAATATTACCCATTCCCACGTATCGAATATAAACTATGTACAGGATGTCATCTTAATTCAAACAGAATTAGCCAAATATGTAGTATTAACACATTGGCAATTATTTCTGCAACATTCCTAGCTAGAAAAACCTTTAACAATCTTAAACTCAATACCAATTACATTGATCTTATATACTCAATAGCTATTAAATATCCTTTATACATACCTCTTATACTTCCCAATATTATTATACACAACTCTAGCATTTTAGAAATCTTTAAACTAAACAGCTGCACTCATGAGTTTCAAGACATTTATCTATTTAATTCTATAAATAATAACTTTACTTTTTATATTAATGGTTCTGTTATTGATATTGGATCAAAACAATGTTCTATAGGTATTGAATAGGTTCATATTAATGAACAAAATCAAATTATCTATAAATTTTCAGTCCAAGTTTGTTTATGACTATCATCCTATAAAGCTGAATTAGTCTCAATTATATCTGCAATATCTACTATATCCTACAATTCATCTATTAGTATATATATAGACTCATAATTTGTTATTTCAAAATTTTATATACTATCTAACCAATTACAAAACTCTAACAAGTTATTTAAATTTAGCACATGGCCCTTATAGCATATCTTACTTAATATTATAAAATCCTTTAACCTTCAAATTACCTTTTACAAAGTTCAAACCTATATTGATAATCTTTTCAACAACCTTTCAGACTCCTTAGCAAAACAATACATATTTCTTTAACCTCTCATCTTTAATTATACTAATATTTATAATCCTTATCATATTCTTTAATGAGAACAAAACTTCATCAAACTACCAACTAGATATTTTATCAAAAATATATGCAAAACGGTTCATCTATAGAATAAGGTGTACTAATGCACTTGATAGTCACATCGTTTATCACATTACACAAAATATAAGTAAT